GGCCTCATCCTCCGCAATTCTGTTTCTTTGTTACTAATGTTGTGGCCTCACCCCATAACAAAGAAACAGAATTTCCGGAGGTTGAGGCCCAGAAATCAGGATTTTAAAAAGATTCCCGGGTGATTCTAATGTGCAGCCAAGATTGAGAACCACTGGCATAGAGGATCCCACTCTGCTCAGTGTTCATCATGCCACAGCTGGAAAACTAGGTTCTGATCTTAAAATTCTATGATCAGCTGATTCTTGTTTACAATATCATTTTCGTTTACCCAACAATAATCTGTTCATCTAGTCCCCTCTAGCACACTCTCTCCCAACTTCCTGTCAAACTAGCTGGATCACATCCTTGCTTCACTTTAATAAAGTCAACCGCCAACAACTACACACCAATTCTGTGCCACGCACTGGGTTATATGCTAGAGATAACAATACCAGGCAACATTAATTGAAGGCTTAGTATGTGCTAGGCACTGAATGCACCTAGTAATCTCCTTAATCATCATAGCATACTTGTCAGATGGAGATTACTGCCTAATTTCTTATTTTTACAGATGAGAACAGAGGGTGTTGATGACTTCCTCACAGTTTCAAGGTGAGTGAGTGCAGTGTCAGGATTTGAAGCTGAACAGGCTGGCTCCAGAGCTTGGGATCTGACCCACCACACAGTACTGCTTCTCAGGCAATGAAAGAGTAAGACAGTCCCTGTCCTCCAAGGACAGTCTAGTGGGGAAAGATACCATCCATGGACAACAATATCAAGTTAGGTTTTGGTAATTGCTCTAATAAAAGATTCAGAGTAGAAATGATTATGACAGAAAGGGTCAGGGATACACTTGGTAAAGATCCTTATCTTTGAGCTGGGCCTTGAAATGTAAGTGATGGCTCATCAGGTGAAGAGCTATCACTTTATCCACTGAGACCAAGGCAAGAGCCAGGGTTGCATTCCTACAGCTGCTTGCTGGAGAGACTAGGGATAGTCCTTCCTAGGTGAAAGATATGTCGTGTGAGGAGGAATGGTCTAGCCCAGTTCTCCTCCTCTTTAAAGGCCTGATCACGCTAGCCAGGCTTATCTATCACTCTCAAGAACCAACTGAATTGCACTCATCTCTTCCCAACTTGTTGCTGTCTGGTGGGTAGTTTGAAATTGGCCCTAGGCACCCTGAAATTGAAAACAGAACAAATCAGGGCTTCCTCTCTCCACCCCTGCCTCCAATTGTTAAACATTCACCAGCTCACCTCTATCCAGAGCAACCACATCATTCATTATTTCATGCTATTTCATACTTTATTTAGTGACTTTAAATTTCAGATGTCTTGACTCCTAAACTAAATTGTAAACATGCCCTAAATGTTCCTGTGATTATGGACACATTTCTAACACTCTATGAGCTCTGTTTCGACACCTGTCAAATAGGGAGTGATTTCTAAGGTGTCTCCCACACACTCTCGTGATCCCAGGATCTCTTTAGGACAGAGGCTCTCTACTCTACTTCCCTCTGATTAGGCCCCAGTAAAAAGAAAGGTGTTCATGGTGGCTAATTCCTGAAGGAAGGGGAGTATCTGTTTGTTTATACAAAAGACTAACTTGTCATAAAGTCATTATTCTTTTGTTGTTGTTTCTTCATGGATTTTTGCAGTGAGAAGGCAAGTTAACAAATCCTTCGAGGACTAAAAGGAGAAAACAGTTTGGACAAATAATCTGCTAGGGATATCAGATTCACAATGCCAATACACAGTGCTCACATTAAAGAACATGTTTAGCTACTTCAAATGGGTTACTTCATTTTTTTTTATGTAATAAGATAGAAATAAGAGAATAACTACAATAAAATAGGGACTGTTTATGTAGAAGAATAAGGTGTGTTTTAAGCAATTCTTCTTTTAAGGAGGAAGTACAGTGAAAGTATTATAGATGGGAAAGTTTTTAAGAGTGACAAAGAATAGTAAATAGAAAAAGAGAAGCCTGAGACACTAAAAGAAAAAATCTTGATGTTTTTCTAGGATGTCTGAACTGGTGTGAGTATATGATACTGGAAATTCAGAGAGTAGTAGGAAATGAGGTTAATCGGAGATCTTTCAGAGAAAATCCAATGAGAAAAATTGAATGAAGAAGTTATAGTCACAATTAAGATATGATCGGGAAAAAGATAAACCTTAAGAAATAATGAAGAAAGTGGTGTAAAGTGCCCTGAATTCCTTAGAGATAAGCACTAAACAAACATCATTACCACAAGCACATTTAACAGCAACATCTGTCTATAAAAATGCAGTTCTCAGCCACACTAACATTTAAAAAGATCTCTTGGGGACCAAAATCAT